ACCTTCTCGTCCTTCTCCCCGTTCCCCAAAACCATCCCACAGCCCGTGCCTCTTGCTGCGCATTGCGAACAGGGTCGGCGGCACCGGCCGTCAGGCCGTCGCAATACCAACAACAACAACAACAACAGCAACAACAACAACAACAGCAACAGCCACAGCAACAACAACAACAACAAAACATTACACAACAGGTCCTGGGGTTGATGTTGTACTCCCGGCGCCCGAAAACGGGCCCCTTGGGGCCGAAAACTGCGAAAAACCTTCTCGAACCCCGAACCCCAAATCTCGACCAAAAACCTACGAGCAGTTTCAAGAAGAACCGACGACGACGACGACGACGACGACGACGCCCACGATGACGACGACGACGACGGCAAGGCGCAAGGCGTGGATCTTCGCCCCCCCGAAGCAAATGTTCCCGGAGGCTCCTCCGGGAACATCTCCCGGAACCGCCCAGGCCCGAGTGGCTTGCGCGACGGCGTCTGCGTAGCGCGGCGCTCGTGTTTGGGCCTCTTAGGGTCTTTTGGGGGCCTCTTGGGGACCTCCTCGGGGCCTCTTGGGGGCCTCCTTGGCGCGTCTTGGGGCTCTCTCGGGGCCTCCTGGGAAGCTTTCAGGGCGGGAAATTACCCTGCGACGTACCCAACCCAATGGCATCAAGTGGCAAGCGGAGTAGGGAAACATTAGCAGGAACCGTGACAGTGCAGGCGCGGCGATTTGTAGTGCGACCTACATGGGATGCGTAATGTTGCACGACTCACAGAACAGCAATCGATAAGACGAGGAGTATGTCTCAAGGCTTGTTAAACAATAGCGGGGGCGGGAACGAGGGACAGGAGAAGGACGAACCCATTAGGAAGGGGCGAGGAGCCATCGCAGCAGCAGCACCATGAATGCATAAGGTAACAGGAGGACTAGGGCGGCGATGATGAAAGAGACGGGAGGAAGCAAGAGACTGTTCCGTTTTTGCAAGAGCTCGGTCAACGCATGCCTGCTGCCTGTCCACAGGATCATACCTGTTTATATCTAGCGCAGGAAGCGATCGAGACCTAGCTCGCGCGCCAGCTTCTCTGCCTCCTTCCTGCATGTTGCAGTGCGGGAACTGAACTTCCGCAGTTTCTCCGCAAGGTCTGCCGGTGGGCCGCGGGCAAGAAAGCCCCCCAGGGATGGCGAGGTCTAATCTGAATCTGCGTGGTGCCTCACTCCGCTGGACCCACCCTCAGCCCTCGAATGTGGCGACAGTTTCGCAGATCGCAGCCCCCCAAGGATGGCGAGGTCTAATCTGAATCTGCGTGGTGCCTCACTCCGCTGGACCCACCAGCAGCCCTCGAATGTGGCGTCAGCGTCGCAGATCGCAGCCCCCCAGGGATGGCGAGGTCTAATCTGAATCTGCGTGGTGCCTCACTCCGCTGGACCCACCAGCAGCCCTCGAAAGTGACGACAGTTTCGCAGATCGCAGCCCCCCAGGGACGGCGAGGTCTAATCTGAATCTGCGTGGTGCCTCACTCCGCTGGACCCACCAGCAGCCCTCGAAAGTGACGACAATTTCGCAGATCGCAGCCCCCCAGGGATGGCGAGGTCTAATCTGAATCTGCGTGGTGCCTCACTCCGCTGGACCCACCAGCAGCCCTCGAAAGTCGAGGTCTAATCTGAATCTGCGTGGTGCCTCACTCCGCTGGACCCACCAGCAGCCCTCGAAAGTGACGACAGTTTCGCAGATCGCAGCCCCCCAGGGATGGCGAGGTCTAATCTGAATCTGCGTGGTGCCTCACTCCGCTGGACCCACCAGCAGCCCTCGAAAGTGGTGACAGTTTCGCAGATCGCAGCCCCCCAGG